AAATGCCATATGATTTCATTTATGTGTGGAATCTAAAGAACAAAATAAACAAACAAACAAAACGAAAACTGACTCATAGATACAGAGAACAAACTGGTGACCGCCAGATGGGAGGCGGGTTGTGGAGCTGGGTGAAAAGGTGAAGGGATTAAGAAGTACAAATTGGTAGTTACAAAATAGTCATGGGGATGTAGAGTACAGCATAGGGAATATGGTCAATAATATAGAAATAACCACGTATAGTGCCAGGTGGGTACTAGACTAGTCAAGGGGATCACTTTGTAAATTATATAAATGTCTAACCACTATGATTTTCACCTGAAACTAACATAAAGTAATGTTGAATGTCAACTCTAATTGAAAAATAAAAATTAAAAATTGAAAGAGGAATGTGTCAGGAAAGGTGATTCTTGTGCTGGGAGAAAGGCTAGGCCGATGACTTCTCATGAGATTCTGTGCTTCTCCAATGTTGCAAAATCTTCAGCAACTGTAAATCCCTTAATTAGAGGGAGAAAAAAAGGCAAAGATCAATTAGCGTCTTCTTTTGTAAAAAGCCCATATTTGCATGTTCCATCTTAACTGGAGTTCGAGGGGCAGAGTGTGGCCAAGCAGGAATTTCATCCTGTGCTGTAGCTGGGTGACTCCACCTATGAATTGAAAATCATTTAGCTAAAATTGTGACATAATGTGCAAATTATGGCCTGCCTGCAGGTTGGGGCTGTGGCTAGGGCCGTGGCTGGGGCCGTGGTGCAATTCTCTAGCAGTTAACGTGAAGTTGACTCAGGACAGTCTCTTCGGGCAGCAGAGGCAGGGCCCTGTTGCTCAGAAATTAGCAAGCTACGAGGGAGCTGGCTGGAGCAGCAGAGGGGAGAGGGGGGAAGCCGGGCCCCATTGGTGCAACACTATCCTGTCTGCGAAGGAACATCATACCCACAATTTTCAGGTTTTGACCCTCACTTCAGCCCCAGAAGGTATGTGGGTAGGCTGATGAGGAAATTGAGGCTCAGAGAAATGAAAGGATTCTTCCAAGATCACACACTGGGCAAGCCACAGAACTCAGCTCTCAGCTAGGGTCTTCTGAATCCAACGTGGTCATCTTCCTTCCACACCCCCTGGGATCAAGGCTGATAAGCCACAGACCTTCCAAGGGATGACCACGTGGTCAGTAATCAGGCCCCACTGCCCACACTTGTGCGACCCGTTGCAAAATCTGCAACACTCAGGACTGTGGAATTCTTGGAGTATAATAAGAATACTAATAATATAAATACTAACATTGCATTAGGCAGTGCCAGACGCTGTGCTAAGCACTTTATATTACCTTTTTTCATCTTCATATCAATCCTATGACATAAGTACTAATATTATTGCTATTTTTCATGGAGGAGAAATAGGTTAACCTGAATCAATGCAACCAGGAGATTCTCATTCATATGTGAGCAGCTCCAGAGTCTGTTTGCTTAACCTGGAGGTTGGCTGCTTAAGCGAAGTGGGACCTCTGTGTTCCTCAGACCTCTGGAGGCTCCAAGAGAGATGGCTCCGCACCCATGCCATGCAGAATGTGACCACGGTTGTTTAGGTCTGCCCCCATCCTTTAATTCTCACAGCAGTTCTATCTCAGTTTTGCAGATGAGGAAGTGGCCACCCTGAGAGGTGAGGTGACGTGGCAGAGCCAGGATCTACATTTATACAATCTTAGGTTCCTCTCTAAGGACAGCATTACCTCCCTCTCACCTCTGCAGGTGGCCTTGCTAAGCCATTGAAAGAAATGTCCAAGGTCCAATTCCTCTTGGTTCTTAGGCCAACAACGACAGTAATAATAATAATTAAAACTCCTTTTCTTTATAACACACTTGAGAGTACGCAGGAGACTTTCACGTCCATTCATCCCATTCAATTTCCACAGTTCTCAGGGTTTCTGGAAAGACTGACTGGACGTAAGGACAGCCTTCCCAGATTCACAGCCAGTGCCATGGCAGAAGCCACGACCCTTGCCGCATACCTGTCTACCCTCTGCTCTCTTCTAGGTCATCATCCAGAACCAACCGTGGTCACATTCTGCCTGGCATGGGTGCAGAGCCATCTCTCTTGGAGCCACCAGAGGCCTGGGGAACACTGAGATCCCACTTCACTTAAGCAGCCAACCTCCAGGTTAAGCAAACAGACTGTGGAGCTGCTCACATATGAATGAGAATCTCCTGGTTGCATTGATTCAGGTTAACCTATTTCTCCCCCATGAAAACTAGCAATAATATTAGTACTTATGTCACAGGATTGATATGAAGATGAAAAAAGGTAATATATAAGAAGTGTTTCGCCAGTGCCCACCCATGATGAGCACTAAATTGACAGTGATTATTTCCATCTTTACAGTGAGTGATGAATTTACATGTTCAAAAAAGCGTGTGCTTCCACCATGTGGCCAGCCCATGCTGGGTTCTGAGAAGATATGAATAACATGCAGCCTATAACTTCAAAGAGCTCAGTCTTGGGCTGGGGGTAGACATAAACAGATCATTCCAATGAGATAGATGGTAGCAGAGGTCCTATAATGTACAAAATGCTGTGAGAGCCCCAAGGATAGAGAGATGTAGATTCCTCTTTTCTGACCCATCCATCTATTTCAGCCTCATCCTTCTGGAGACTCAACATTTCCACCTTTTCCCTAAAGACCTAATCTTGTCATCATGGTGCTAGGTCTTCATTCCCACGCCAACTCTGGGGGAGGCCTTGAGAAACTTCTGCTATGTCATGAAGCATTATCATCTTTTTAACTCTCTTGTCTGTCACAGGAAATGTTGGGACTTGTACATATACCCACAATAGGATCTGTTGAAAAATATATCCCCTTAAAACAACACATAAGCAAGCAAAATGTAGAATTCAAAGTCTCCTCTCCCCCCTTTTTTTAACCAATGTAGAACCTGGATCTGGAGAAGGTCTGTGACTTACCCTCTAGTCTTACAGAGAGCATGTGGCAGAACCAGATGAAACCGTGTCGCCACTATAAGATGAGTGGCTATCCCTACTGCCGCATTAAAAAGAATAGTTTTCCCCCACCCCATCCCTCACCAAATCTGGAATCAAACTGGCATTTGAATCTAGATGGTTTCTGGAATTACTCCATTATGGGACACATCCATGCGTTTTGACTTGCATCGCCCCATTTGATTATTCCCTCTGCTTAGCCAGCTTGAAAAGGTGGGTGTGATTATACCCAGTCTCAGACAATGTTCAGTGATAGCTCAGCCAGCGCTGGAACTGAGTGTTTCTAACTCCAACTTCGGCAAGCTGTGATGAGCATCTCACACCTTTCGTGCAGGTAGAAACCACCAGTACGTATGTGTAGTGAGAAAGGACTAAGCCATTTTCTGCCTCTGGGTTCCACAGAGACAGTGCTCAGAGACTTCTCAGCTCTAACTCTAGACATGATACTGCAAGAAAAGCATGACAAAATTCTCTAAACCTCACAATCCAGAGTGTTGTTCATCTTTGAAAAAAATTATAAAAGCAGGCTCTTCTTCTTCTCTCCCCTCTTCTCCCCAAGCTGGTCTTGCATAAGAGGGATGGATGCCCTTCCATTGGGTGACAAGAGTATGTCGTAAGAGAAAAGTTTACAGGCACTACAGGAATGACCTGGTGCCTCGCCCACCTCATTAGAATCTTAATTGGGGTGTGTAGGAGAGGCTTCTATAAATGGTAAGGCAATCCCCAGCAGCCTGTCTCCCCACTTCTTCCTGCCACTCTCAGACGAGCCCCAAGAAGCAGAGGAAGGTACAACATGACTGGTGAGTGCACGGCATCTTCTCTGCCAGACCCTTACGAGAAGCCTATGCTTCTCCTAGGCCAGAGTGTCCAGCTTGGGCTCTGAAGGCTGGATCTTAGTATTCTAGGGTTCTATTCTTTTTCAGTGGCTGCCTAGTCTCTCTAGCATGGTTCCAGGGGTAAAACGTATTGGGGATGTAGTCCTGAGTAATGGGCAGGATATTCACTGCAGCTGGAGGTCACATCCCCTTAGATAAAAGGATAAGCTTTTCCATGTCAAGCCAGCTGGTACCTGCTTCCCGTGTTTCTCAATGCAGTTTTACCAGCTGTTAGTATCATAGGTGAAAAAAAGCGCATTTCAAAGCTACAAGGAAGTGAGAACAGGACAGCCTGTAAATTGATTTAAAAGAAACCTTCAGCAGCATTGGAATGCTTCTAAGTAAATTACACATCCAGAAGCACCGGCAGCCTCTTTGAAAGTGCCTTGATGAGCTGAAACCTCCCAGTAACAGAAAGAGCAGGTGTGCCAACAACTGTCCCTACAAGCAGCGTCAGGGAAGGTCGGTGAAAAAGAACAAGAAGTGCAGGTTCTTTAGCTCTATGGTCACTGTCGAGGATTTGGGCTCTTGTTAGACAGCGCCCCTGCTAAGCAGCATGCTAATTATTGCCTGTCCTGGGTGCTCAGCCTGGTGCGCTGACAGCATCGCCAAACCCAAACAAGGCATGAATCAACCTTATAAAATATTAATGGCAGTTAGAACCGCAGGAAGGTTTGCCAAAGAAATCACTGAGCACGACGCAAAAGGTGAATGTTGATTACTCCAGGAATCACAAAGACCAGGACAGGGTGGCCGCAAAACTGGACCCCCATCCCTGTTCCCCATTTCCTCCTGTGAACATGCAGCAATATGCGAGGTCATTAAGAAGAAGAGCTTCTGATCCTGTAGACTTTAGCAAGAGAAGATGTCAGCTGTCACCTAGACCATCTCCCTTCCTCCAGGAAAAGGAGAGTTCCAGGAAAGGCTAGAGACTTACTAGTCACATAGAAGGCTGATAGCAGAGACAGGCTAGGTCCCAGCAGTGTCCTTTCCACTGTTTCCTGCTACCAGAGTTGAGTTCATCCATGAGCACATGTGCTATCCAGGGCATAGGAAACCTAGTTTCTCACGTGAACTCTGTTACCAGCAGCTTCTGCATTCCCTGCCACCTCCAAGCCAAAGGTTCCCAATTGCAAGATGAAAGGCTTAAAACAGATGGACTTTAAGGCTCCTCCCAGTACTGATGACTCTCACCATGAGAGGAAACCAGGGATAGAGAGCAATGGGCCCCAGAAGTGCTCACCCCCTGGGGGCACGTATCGTCACATCACTCTGCAGGCCCTACTGTGGGCCCACGAGCAGCCTCATACCTGCCCTCTGTGAGTCCTGCTTGACATCCTGAGGGCCTGGCATATCACTGCCTGTGACTCATGAAAAGTTAAGCTCTTAGAGCTCAACATCTAAACCAATCAGAGACGTTCGGAGGTCACAAAAGAAGGTAGACAATGGCCAGTTGGGAGAACATCAATTTTAACAAAGGCAGGGAGGATAAGTGAATACTTTCCTTCCCTTTACTTTGCCACACATACAGTTCCCAGTTCAGCTTCTACTCTGGAATGAATAAATTTACTTATTGAACAGCTAGGGAAAGGAGCCACTGTAGGTACAGTGGGGAACGCAGAGATAAATGGCTGTAGTCTCTGCCTTCCCTCAATACACAGCCCGATCATGCTTGGTCAGTAGTAGTTATGTGGGGTGAGGAGTGTTCTGGGTAGAAGGAACAGGAAAATAAAGGCGAGTGGTTATCAGGTGTGACCCAGGAGACCATCAGATTAATTGTGTTTGTCTGAGAGGACTGTGTCCACCCAGCTCCCAATTTAAGGTTCTTGTTGGAATCAGCGCAGGTTCAGTTACTGGGCCTCTCACTGGAGGGCAGCCTGGGCCATGGGTGGGGACGATGGTCGGGGAAGAGGGCCTGGCCGTGTCCTGCGCAAAGTACAGTTGACCCGTGAACAATATGGATTTGAACTGCTCAGGTCCATTTATAAGTGAATTTTTTTCCATTGACCTGCATAGTTCAAACTAGAGTTGTTCGAGAGTCGACTCTGCAGCTGGTAATCCGTGAGTGCAGAAGGCCAACTTAAGTTATTCTGGGACTTTCCACTACAGGGTGGCCGGTGCCCCTAATCTTACCATATTGTCCAAGGGCTAACCGAGGCCAGAGCCCCAGGGTGGACAGGAAAGCAGGCTGTGAACGCGGACATTGGGCCCAATGTGGAGGGGACACCTTGCTCCCCATCCCCAAAGCCACTCGGAAGCCCTGAGTCACAGGCAGAGTCCTCAGGGTAGGAACCTGAACTGCAGACCTCTGCCTGCGGGAGGCCAGAACCTCCATTCTGGGGACTAGCCCTGTGATCCACCAGGGCACTCAACTTTCTGCCAACCATTTTGCTGGGCAGAGCACTGGCCTGGACTGCAGAGCCTAACCTTCTCTGGCCTCATTCCTCAATCTCTGGATGACCTGTGCCACTCTGGGCCATGGGTCTGCCACAAAACATCTTTCCTTGGAGCTGAGACACTGATGGCTCTTTCTCCCATGATCCTGCCTCCTCCTTCTGTTCTAGAAATATTTTAGGAACATCTGGGTTCTCCGTGCACAGGGCAACGGCTTCTCATTTCAGCTACCTGGACCAGAGCACTAAGGTCTCTCTGAAAGCAGATCGCCCCTTGGGCTCAGAGGCTCATGGCTTCAGGCGCTCAGAGTTTGTGATAATGATGCAGATCTGAGCGTAGGGACTCAATTCCTACACAAGAGGGTCCTTGACTCTACACAGGAAAGAATTTAAGCACAAGCCAGAGTTAGAGATAAAAGGAAAGTTTATTACAGAAGAAATAACGCTCCAGAAATAGAGCATGTTCTCTCAGAGACAGAGAACGAGACCCCAAGTGTTTAAGGGATTCGGTTTATGTGTGTTTTCCTTTCAAGATGTGAGTATGCAGTGTTAAAGGCATGTTAGTAATCTCAGTCTTCATTCTGTAGGTTCCTGTGGTCTGGCTGTAGGAAATAAATAGTTGGGTTTATTCTGTGTAGGGTATAGCTTAAAGACTTTTTTTTCCTGTTTTTCTTTTATGGTATGGGTATGCCGCATTAATATGTGTCAACAGTTGTTAGTAATCTCTGCAGGAATTTTCCTTTGTTCTGTAGGTTTCTTGTGGTCCGGCCAAAGAACGGATCAGCATGTCGTAGGCTCTGAATACAATCTGCTTTAACATTTAGCCAATTTGCTGTCATTCTCATGCCTCTTCTCTAGATCAATAAGGACAAGTTGCCTTTTCTCCCCCACAGCCCCACCCACTTTCTTTCATCTGGGGCAGCAGCTGCTCCCTGTTCATCAGACACAGACCTGCTGGCAGCTGCATCCACTTGCCCATGTTTCCACTTTTATTATCTAGGATTACATACAGAGGTGGAAGAGCCGAAGGCTTATGAGCACACGTCCGGAGACACGCTCTGGGTCGAATGTCAGCTCTGTCCCTCACTAGTTGAATGATCTTGGGCAGATTACTTAAGCTAAGTGTCTCAGTTTCCTCATCAAAAAAAGGTAAAAAATAAAAATAAAATAAAATAAAAATGAGGTTATTCTGGAATCCACCTCATAGGCGCTCAGTCCACATAGCTTATTATTTCTTGAGAAATTTTCATGAGCCTGAAGAAAAACCCTATGAGATGAAGGCCATTTTCTAATCAAGGACAATTCCCAGGGGACGCTCTCCCACTCGGCCTCCCCCTCCCCCAACATTTCCAAGTCCCCTGTTCTTTTTCACTTCAAATAACTTCTCTGTTCTCCTCCACCTTGCTGGGCCAGGCTCCACAGATGGAGCAATCACTCTCCTCCCCAGGGCCCACATGCCAACCCGGGGTGTGAGTTGAACTTAGGAAATTGTTTTCTCTACCCCTCAGGAGAGGAGGGAATGGGGCCCCAGGGTCTTTGGTAGGGGCTGAAACGTGGGTTCTTAAAGAGCCTGCATTCTCCTCTCTCGGCCTTATTTTTCTCCTTTGTAAATGGGGTTTTCCCCACTGCCTCCCTCTCAGAGCAGCTAGGTGACTCAGATGAGATCATCCACGTGAGAGTTTTGATAAGTATAAAATGACACGTGGGCCTAAGATACTGATTCTCAGTCCTCCATGCTCACTAGAATCACCAGGAGAGTTAAAAGAAAAGAAAAGAAAAGAAAAGAAATAACAAACAAACAAAAAAAAACCAATGCTGTCCCTAACCCAGAAATTCTAATTTAATTGGTCGATGGTGGGACTCGGGGCAATTTGACACTCTCCAGGTGAGGGTGGCGAACAACCAGTCCAAGAGATTCTAAGCTCGCTTTGGAAATGAACTAGTCCAGGATTCGTCCTTCCATCCTCTTCTCTCACCTTGACCATGTAATGTCAAGGCAGGGAGTAGGCTATCGGTTGCCTTTTCTCTCTAGCAGTTTACTGGAGTCATCGCAAGCCACTGCCACCACAACCACCTTGGCTGGCTGCAGGGTGACAGCTCGGAGTCCTATGTGGTCAGGCAAAACTGCCTTCCAGTCTGGGCTTGGGTCCAGGCTCTGCCTGAGCATGCACTATTTGACATCACCTGACTAGATTTCCAAATCCCTCATCTGTGAAATGGAAATAATGACATTGTAGGGTTTTTGTAGCTATTAAAAGACATAATGCAGGTAAAATGCTTGGCACAGTGTCTGGCACAGCTGAGGTCCTCAACGGCAGCTCATAAAAAAGCTCAAACCCTCCTCTATCCTGTTGCTTTTGCCATTACATGTAGGATCCCAAAGGATTTGCCCCCCACAACCTCTAGGGGCCCAGGTACTACTGATAAGTATACCTTGGATCCCAATAGTAACCCTACAAAGGAGGATGTGCAGGTCTCACTCTGTCTACAGATGGGAAAAGTACAACCGAGAAACACAGAGACCTTGCCCAAGGCCTCAGCCTTCCAGACTATCAGCCCAGGGCTCGTTCACTTCATCCCAGGAATCCTCACCAGCCCCTCACTCAGCCACCAGCCCCCAAGCTTCTCTACCACCTGGTGCCAAGAAATTGTACCACTGTGTTGCACAGGGATTGAAAATGTCTGAATGCTGGAGAATGGCACAGGCTACAGGGAGAAGAGAGACTGTTGAGAGCTGACAGGAAAGCACCAGGTTCTTGGAGTCAGTGGTGGGGCTGGCCAGGAGTTCAAGACGTTTCCTGTGCCCAGAGGGGATTTCAGGGGAGTGTTGGGAATGACTCACATCCCCTCAGTGACCATACTCTGAGATCTGGTTTCTGGGCCAAGCTCTGCTTCTAAATTACCCTGCACCCTCAGCAGATGTCTTCCCCTTTTGGGACCTCAGTTTTCTTACCTGTAATATGGGAAGCTGAGATTACATCACTGTTTTTCTAGCTGCCATTTGTCACCACTAGCAGGTTGTAAAATCAGTCTAGTGGATTGTGACCAGCAATAACAATGAAGTATAAGGGAAAATATCAGTACATTATACATAGTAAGAGTTAGTATTTTGTTGTGAAACTTTGTATCAGGTATAGACCCATATATGTAAACACTGTGTAAAATGTATTTCTTAATGTGGTCTCCAAAAAATGCTCAAAGACAATTGACTACATCATTTTTAGTATATTTATTAGCCCTAATTAACTCTATAAATCTGTAAGATTAAAAAAAAATGTCCGTCTAGAGAAGAGACATAGGGAATAAGGTCTGGACAGGTGGGGAGAAGCAGCCACTGGAGTATCAGTTATGTCATGTTGGGCCACCTGCCAGCAACTTTATGCTGTGGTTCTCCCAGGAATAGGAGATAAAAACCCCAATCACATACCTGCAACCAGTCCTACTCATCTGTCTGCTGCAGGTGATTCAATCACAAAGCCAGGCTGATAAGGATTGAGACAGATGACTAGTAACTTCCTTTCACATGTGTGCTTCTCATGTTATCACTGCCAAAGTTGGATCCCAGAATAAGATGGAGGGTTACATCATCAGGTATATGTATTAGGTTTGGCTGTGAATGACAGTGAACCCCCAAATAATAATGGTTTAAAGGAATAAACAAAACAGAAGTTTACTTCTTCTTTATATAATAGGTCTGGATATAGGCAGTTCTGAGCAGGTAAGGCATCTGCTCAATTCATAGGTGTCCAGGCTCTATGTAGTCCCCATGCTATCTCCAGGGTATGCATGGTCCAAGATGACCACTAGGGCTCTGTCCACATCACACCCACACTCCAGGCAGCAAAATGAAAGAAGAGGCAGGTAAGCAGGCAAAGGGCATTTGTCAACTGTTTTGAAAAAGAGATTTCCTCAAAAAAATTGAAATCAGTATTCAAACAAATACTTTATATGAATGTTCATAGCAACACTATTCACAAAAGCCAAAAAGTAGAAACAACCCAATTGTCCCTCAACTGATGAATGGATAAACAAAATATGGTAAATCCATATGTAGTTGACCCTTGAACAACTTGGATTTAACTGCACTGGTCTACTTATACGTGGATTTTTTAAAATAACAACTGTGAGTGTATTTTCTCTCCCTTACAGTTTAATTAATAACATTTTCTTTCCTTTAGCTTACAGATAGATAGATAGATAGATAGATAGATAGATAGATAGACAGACAGACATAGATATAGACACACACACACATACACACACATATATATTATAAAATATATGTTAAATGACTGTTTATGTTATCAGGAAAGCTTCTAGTCAAAAGTAGGCTATTAGCAGTTAAGGTTTTTGGGAGTCAGAAGGTATAAGCAGATTTTCAATTGCATGGAGAGTCTGTGCCCCTATGAACTGCCGATAAATAATACCATGTGAATGAACCTTGAAAACATTATGTTAAGTAAAAGAAATCAGGCCCAAAGGCCACATTCGTATGAGATTCCATTCATGAAATGTTCAGAATAGGCAAATCCATGGGAAAAGAAAGCAGATCAGTGGTTGCTAAAGGCTGGAGTTAGTGAGTAACGGAAAATGATTGCCAATGGGTACGGAGTTTCTTTGGGGGATAATGAAAAAGTTCTGAAAGTGGTTAGTGGTGATGGTTGTGCTATACTAAATACCACTGAATCGCACACTTTAAAAATGGTTAAAATGGTGAATTTCATGTTCTGTGAATTTTACCTCAATTAAAAAAAGAGAGAGAGGTTTCCTGGAAGTTGATACATATAACTTCCTCTCATAGGTCATTAACTAGAACTCATTCCTGTGACTGCCTACTGCAGCAGAGCCTGGGAAATGTGGTACCCATTAATATGGGAGATTTTATTACCAAGAAAGAAGGAGCGAGTGAATATTGGCATAGACATTTAGTAGTCCTGACAGGTGAGGATATTCTCCGGAGGCAGCACGAAATTGTGAGAAGAGCACTGGAATGAGAGTCCAGAAATGTTTCACTGTGGGCAAATCACCTTCCAGGCCTCCATGTCCTCACATCTGGATAAGGGAGGGAGTATATGATCTGTCTCCAAGGACTCTTTTCCCCCTGATGTTTTTTAAGAGCATATGCTAGTCAATTGTAGGGTCAATGCAATGCTCTTTTTATCCCTTCCCTTCATCCAGGTTGGTGGAGAGGACAGTCTTGGGGCTCATAAATATCCATGAAGTTCTAAACTTAGATGGTCGTGTGTCTCCCCACCCCCTGCCCTTTCCCTTCCAGAACACACTCTGGCAAAGGGGGTTGTGATTACTGCTGTGTGAAGGGGTAGTTGTTGGGAGTAACTATGGAACCTAAATAATCCACAGACAGGATCATCGGATCCTTGATTTGGGGGCCGGCAGAGAACCAATCCTAGGGTTCAAGGGGTGGGACCATGACAGAGGGTGGCAGCCAGCAGAAGGAGAAAGATTTCAGGAACCACATGGGAGGCTTTATGAGCATGTTCTCAGCCTGCCTATCCGACTCCAGGATGCAGAGGCAGGCTGCTCCCCTTTTGTTAACCTCCTATGTAAAATGCCCTTTTAGAACACATTTTTTTCTTCCATATGCTCACTCTCTCCTTTATCAGAATATACATGCCAGGGAGTGGGACAATGCACAGTGAGGGCCCCTCACCCCTTGGGTATCTTCTGGACTGAAGGTCCAGCATGGGTCCCCTTCCCAAGCAGAGAACTGAGAATCAGGGCAACAGGGGAGGGCCAGTAAGACCTGGGTTTGGAATCCTGGGTCTGCCAATCACTAGGTATATGACCTCCAATAAGATATTTATCTCTCTGAATATCAGTTTCTAGTTTTGACAAGGATTCCATTGGTGATATATAAAGTGCTCTGTAAACTGTTAGTAGCAGTTGACATACAGTAGATTGATGGCAAATGAGTCCTGCTTTTCCTCACTCTCCAGCCCAGAGAAGACTTGCATATCCCACAAACACCCTGATGGGGAACACACCTCCTTCATGCCAGGGCTCATGTCTGGTGTCAGGAGAGGCAGATGACCATCTATCACAGTGATACCAGGACCTTACCTAGTGAGGCATGCAGAGTGCCCTTCATCTCCCTTCAGTGTCTCTGCAGCCAAGTCACCCTGATTTCAGTCTTTTCTTTGTCTTTTTCCCTATGGACAAGCCACTGGTCTCTGAGATAAAAGAGAGAAGTCTCTGCTATTGACACAGCTATAGTATATAGTGTATAACCCTTGACAAAGCAAAGCAAAGGACTTATTTCAGGGGAGACAGATGCCAGCCATAGATGTAGAATCCCTGCCACCCCTTTTTCCTTACCCCTGTGTTTGACAGAGAATGTCTGGGGACATACTTTCTGTGCTCAAGTAGCTCATGGTCTAGAATGGTGAGCTTCACCTGGGGAGAAAGCATGCATGCTTTTGGTTTGGGAGGGAGTTGAAGAATCTCTAAGGGGTTCATGCGATCTGAAACCACATGTCCCGTAGGGCTCTTCTCTTTTCTAAAACAAGACAAGGAGTAAAGTTCTACCAAATCTCAAATGTCAGGGAAGCACAGCAGGTAGTGAGCAAAGTTGGAAGGAAGCATGGGGTTTAAAAGATGGGGCCATTGCCCTCAAGAGAACTAGCATCTACAAGCCACACAGAGTTTGGGGTTGCCAGAGAGTGTCTAAGATCTGGGCTGTCTCCATTCGATATTTATGTACAGGAATGCTCATCTTTTCTCCTTCCTCCCTCTGTCCCT